AATGAATTAATTATTGAATAACCTGAACTGTTGTCAAAATGTCATCAAAGTCATGACAAATCATTCACGATGAAGAAATCATGACAAAAGCATTTACGTTCATTCACGATGAAATCATGACACATTCATTTACGCTCATTATGATGAAGAAGTCATGAAAATTCAAGAGGGTAGATCTCACCACTTCACCTAAACATTATTTTTGGATCATTTACGCTCATGTTTGACACATTCATTAACGATGAAACCATTAACGTAAACATATACGATGAAGAAGTTTCGACAAATCATTTACGATGAAACCATTAACGTAAACATATACGATGAAGAAGTTTCGACAAATCATTAACGATGAAACCATTAACGTAAACATTTATTTCCTGTGTTGTTGTCAAAATGTCAAGACCTTCAGGTCTCGTCACACAGTGACTGTTGTCAAAATGTCATGAGTTAAATGACCTGGTAGCACATGGTAGCATGGTAGCACCTTCAGTTCTTCAAAAATAATTAATTATTGAATAACCTGAACTGTTGTCAAAATGTCATGTTGTCACATTTTTTCAGAGAAGTTAAATGACCTGGTAGCACATGGTAGCATGGTAGCACCTTCAGTTCTTCAAAAATAATTAATTATTGAATAACCTGAACTGTTGTCAAAATGTCATGAGTTAATTGACCTGGTAGCACATGGTAACATGGTAGCACCTTCAGTTCTTCAAAAATGAATTAATTATTGAATAACCTGAACTGTTGTCAAAATGTCATCAAAGTCATGACAAATCATTCACGATGAAGAAATCATGACAAAAGCATTTACGTTCATTCACGATGAAATCATGACACATTCATTTACGCTCATTATGATGAAGAAGTCATGAAAATTCAAGAGGGTAGATCTCACCACTTCACCTAAACATTATTTTTGGATCATTTACGCTCATGTTTGACACATTCATTAACGATGAAACCATTAACGTAAACATATACGATGAAGAAGTTTCGACAAATCATTTACGATGAAACCATTAACGTAAACATATACGATGAAGAAGTTTCGACAAATCATTAACGATGAAACCATTAACGTAAACATTTATTTCCTGTGTTGTTGTCAAAATTCAAGACTTCAGGTCTCGTCACACAGTGACTGTTGTCAAAATGTCATGAGTTAATTGACTGTAGCACATGGTAATGGTAGCACCTTCAGTTTCTTCAAAATAATTAATTATTGAATAACCTGAACTGTTGTCAAATGTGTTGTCACATTTTTTCAGAGAGTTAAATGACCTGGTAGCACATGGTAATGGTAGCACCTTCAGTTCTTCAAAAATAATTAATTATTGAATAACCTGAACTGTTGTCAAAATGTCATGAGTTAATTGACCTGGTAGCACATGGTAACATGGTAGCACCTTCAGTTTTCAAATAATAATTATTAATAACCTGACTGTTGTAAAATGTATGAGTTAATTGACCTGGTACACATGGTAACTGGTAGCACTTAGTTATTCAAAATAATTCATAACTACCTTCCTCCTGAACTGTTGTCAAAATGTCAAGACCTTCAGGTCTCGTCACACAGTGACTGTTGTCACATTTTTTCAGAGAAGTTAAATGACCTGGTAGCACATGGTAACATGGTAGCACCTTCAGTTATTCAAAAATAATTCATAACTACCTTCCTCCTGTGTTGTTGTCAAAATGTCATGTTGTCACATTTTTTCAGAGAAGTTAAATGACCTGGTAGCACATGGTAACATGGTAGCACCTTCAGTTGTGCAAAAATAATTAATTATTGAATAACCTAAAAACATGAGACTTTGTCTCCGGACTCTTTGAGTCACTTCACGATAAAATAAGTGATAACAAATTTTTATTTTTATCATAAATGAATACCCCACAAGCTCAAAATTTACCACGAATCATAACAAGGGAGGAAATGATAAAAATGATGCAAGAACATGTTAAAAATAACAAACCACTAAAATTGAGAAAATGTGGTTATGCGGTAATGATGGAAAGAGAGATGTTGTCGAAGAGGAATAAAAATTAAATTTGGATAGAGTTTAAAAATTCATCTTTATTAAATTCATCTCTTCCAATCAATTTATTTATTCTATTAAATTCTTTTATTTTTGCTTCACTCAGTTTAAGGATTGAACGATAAGTTTCTAATTTTTCGATTATTTCTTTCCTCTCTTTATCGTTTTCAACCCCACCACATTGTGGCTTCTTTTTGTAATAACATATTTTTGATTTAATTCTGTTTAGTTTCTTTTTATATTCATCGTCTGGACTCTTGACTGCTTCGTTGTTACTCATTTCTTACGAAATAAAAAAATTAAATATTATTTAAATATAATGGAGTAATAAAATAAATCGGAATTTCTATTAATTTATTGTCAACTTCAACTAATGCATTGCCGTTAATATATCTAACAAATTCAGCTATTGTGTCAAATCTTCGTCTTCTTTTTGTCATTGATTTATCAGTTTTTCCATAATCGAGATGAATCAAAACTTTATCCCTTGTTTAAAATTCATGAGCCCCGAATTAATTTGTTCACGTTTAACATCATTCAACCTTTCCATTTGCTTTCTAATATATTCCCATTCTTTTGAAATATCATTTTTCATTTCCACCGGTTTCATGTTTATTGTTCTATGCCATGTATTATTGTAATAATATACTAACTGCTGTATGATGGAGTCATGATTTCCATCCCAGTATATCTGACCATTAACCCCTAACGCATCTCTAAGAGTTCTCATTACCGCATCAACTATTTTATTATGAAACGTATATGGAGAGGATGAAAAGTAAAAATTAATTTGTGGGAAATAATGAGCCATAGCTGCCTGAAATCCTTTATCACCATCACCCTTATATTATCTACTCTTTCATGATCTAGTAAGTATTGAATAGCTCTTCTTGTTTCCTGTTCTGTTTTCCCTTTCACCGGAATGCAATATAAATATCTGGTGTTAATGTTAATGGCAAATAAATAAGTAACGTTTCCTCTTGAATATTCTAAATGATCGATTTCGTATGAATATGGATATGGTGCAAATGAAGGGCGACTAAATTTTTCCTTTAACGGTTGAATTTTTGGGTCAATTGGTTTATTTAATATTTTGAAATCCTTTTTAAAATCTTTTTGCTTCTTTAATGTTTGAAATGGATATAATAAAGTGAATGATGAAGGATTAACTGAAGGAGGAGGAGGTACTGTCGTTGGGGGTTTGGTGTTGCAAGTGGTTTAATTTTATCTGCTTTGATTTTGGATTTCATTCCCCCCTTCATTAATTCTGGATGTATTCTATTCATTTGTTTTAAATATGCTGTATATAAAGGTTTGATATACTTTCCCGCTTCGAGTTTATGTTGAAGGATGAATTCCAAAAGTTGATCTTCATTTAAAAGTCGGGCTGAATATGGTTTAACTAATGAATCATAAATTAAAGCTTGTGCTTCATTTATGGTCTGAAGGACCTGGGCGTTTTGCACCTTTTGTTTTTGTTCCTTTGGTTTTTGCGGCTCAGGATTATATAATTTATATAATTTATATAATTCATCAATATCTTCTTCTGTTAATACTTTATTTTTGAAATCTTTCAATTGTTTAAGTTGTGATTTACTTTTTCCCTTTGAATATTCATTATTTTTAATTTTGTCTTTAATTTTAGAAATTATTTTATCATGATATTTCAAAACTTCATTTTTATAATACGAATAATAATAATCCATATCATCACCCGTTATATTGTTATCATGTTTTTGGAGATATGATTTTAATTCATAATAATTAAGAAAATTTTGATTAAGTACTAAATCATCAATTAAATTTTTTAAATCTACGCTATTCATTTATATAAAAATAAATAAGTGTTTTAAGGGTGCCCGCCTCTTTGAATCATAGTATCAAAACCATTATTTACGGTTCCTTTTGTCTCTTCTGTGGCATTTTTAAATAAATGGCATACAACATCCATTTTCACAACATACAGCCTTAGTGTGTGCTCCTGTTAATGCAGTCTTACCGATTGTTAAGCGAGTCATTGACCCGTTTTTAAGTTGTAAATTAATATTCTGACCATCAAATATCACTTTATCATTTATTATATCCAAATAATTTTTAGGTGTTAATTGTTTATTTTGTCGTAAACTAACTCCTTTCATTTTTTGTGCAATCTTTTTAAAATCACTTCCATCAATTGAACCGTTGAATGAAGTATAACACTTAGGACATAAAGCAACCATGTTATCACCTTGTTTCTCAATTGCTAAACCCAATAACTTCTTCTCATGTGCTTTTTCTTCAGCTTTATTCTTTAATTTAGGTTTAAATTTCTCATTAAAACAGAAGAAATCAAAAGGTGCGAATTTGTAAATGTTTTTATCATAAAATTTTTTATCGGTTACAATTGCTTGAAATGCTTGAGTGTTAGGAAGATTTGGGTCGCCAGCGATTGCCCAATAAGATGAATCAGTATCACCTTCAATGAAATGAAAACGATTAACATCCATGCATTTATACATAAAATCATAAATGAAAACCAAATACCAGTATTTTGCGTTATCTAAAGTGAAGAATGCCTCTTGTAAACATGTATCACATCTATAAAATCTATCTTTAAGCATCACTTGATACGTATCCTCTCCTATTTCTCTTATGTTTTTAAACTTATTTGACATACATGCAACGCGTGCCTTCTGTGCATTCATTATTTTAGTCTTTGCGTAATTTTGTGTATTCATTGCATCGTAACCATATGATCCATTAAGTGAAATCTTGCAAAATAAACTTTTTCCTTTATTTCCTTCTAATTCAGCCTTTTGTCTTTCGTTCATAAATTCATTCGCAAATTCATTAAAACAAGTATTTTTCGTAAATGTTAAAATTGATTGAATGTCATCAATGATAAAATGAAATCTGTCTATTAGATACCAAAGATAATAAGAAGAAAATGGTTGATATTGGTTGTGTGTTGATGCTAACTGAGTTAATTTCCTCTGTTTCTGGTCAACTGGTAGATTGTTTGATTTCATGTAATTATACATAAAACCACCAATTGTTTTTTCATCTGTGATAATATCAAAGTTTCTTATTATTGGTAAAAAGTTTATGTAATCATTAATGTATTTTTCATCAATGTGACCCTTTACTTCAGCCACGAATAAAGTATTTTTCTTCTTAATTATTCCCAGTGCTTTTGCTTTCTTTGTTGCTGTATCACAAATGATAACACCATTCAATCTTCCCGGCATATACATTTTATGGTCAGTATATTGAATGAAATCATGAGGATTAGATGAAAATGATGAAGGATATAATGAATTAAAGTCAACACCAACGAAATGAGTCATAATGTTGGAAGTGTCCTCATTTGATACAGTTTTAGTTTCTGGATTATATGAAAGTTTATTAATGTGCGTGATTCCTTTAAGATTTACTCTATGTTGAACATTTGATAAACCACCAGTAATTCCATTACGGAGGATGTGATAAGCTTCAACTGAATCTAGAGTCATTGGTAAATTATTTTTTAATGTATAATTTCTTAAATTGATTCTTAAACGTTGAACATCTTCATCTTTATTTGATTTTACGACATTGCAATAACAACACATTAACTGACAATTTTCTTTGGTATGTGGTTTTTCATTATCGATTCTATCTAATGTTGGTTTATTAGCATATGTAAACGCTTTACCACACATTTTGCATTTAGATGAAAGGATTAAATCGTGATAGTATTGATAGTCATCCATTGAAACATTGTTTTTAGTATCCCTTTCTGCTTTTTCATCTTGTTTCTTATATGAATCAATTTTATATTTCCAATACTTTTTTGTTAATTCAAAACTTGATTCCACATTTTCTTCTTCTGGATATGTTTCGTTAGGATTGAAGTTCTTATATGCTAACGCGTAACGAATCATTGATGCATTCGATGATAAAGAAAGATTATGAAGCATGTCAATTTTATAAACAAATGTTTCTTCAATAATTTTATCAATTGGGTCAATCATAATTTCAACGTCTTTATTGCAATAATGAATAAAATATTCTAATCTATTCTCAAAATTTTTAGCATCATTGAGATATATTTGATAATCTGAATCGGATATTGTTTCTTGAGTTAATGCTGAATAAAATGAATCTTGAGTGAATGGTTCCACTTTATATAATTCATCTTCGTAATTCTCCCATGTGATGAATTGATAAGGGAAAAAGGATTTAACACGTGATTTATTGTTTCCGAAATCTTGAGTGAATTGGTCTAATGTTCCACCCGCTATATAATTTCTGATGTCAATAAATCTTAATTCATATGGACAGTTTGTTTTCTTTACAATGATTTGCTTAAATTGAGAAGAAGAACCCAGCATTGATTTTATTTTCCATTTTGCAGTGTTTAAATCACGAAGAATTAAATTTAAATCAAACTTTCCCGAATTAAAACCTATGATATTCACTTTATTGAATTCCTCATCTAGAAGTTCTTTAAATGCTTCCTTCTGTTTTTCATTTAATGTATGGGACAAAGTCCCCGCCGTTTGGTCCGTTTGCGACTTCATTAATTCTTCATATTGTTCAATATTTGATTTAGCAACTAATGAACAGGTTGAAAATAAAAATTCAATCCAATCAGAGATGAACGAATCACTTGATGTTAAGCAAAAATTCCTCGTAAATGTTTTATCGTTTAATTTAACCGTTGATGATACCATGAATGGTTTTAAGTAAGCGTTCAAAGTTGCACATTCAGAAAGTTGAAGTTCTTCTTTAGTCTCTAATGTTTCGAAGTCAAAAGTAATATAATATCTTGTTGGTTTATAATATTCCTGCAAATTATGTGCTAATAGCCATTGATATATCTTCTGTTTCGTGATATGTGGTGCATATGGTTGTTGTGTGTTTTGCAATTGAACGTCTTGAATTAATCTTCCATTATTTTCCTCACATTTCTCACAATGCTTTAAAAATCTTCTTTGGTTTTTCCTTTCTGGGTCATCACGGATAGAATATACTTCTTCTTTGCAAAAGGGGCAAACTTTATATCCTGTGAGTGCTTCAACGTCTGTAATTCTGTCAGCGTGAAGTTTTCCACATGGACTCTGTGTTAATAAAATATTTACTGTTTCAAATTCTGGATCTATCATTATTGATTCCACTAATGGAAAGTCTACCTTATTTATGTCTACGTCTTCTGGTTGAGGGTCACAATAATAAAAATCAATATTAACGTTTAACATTCTTGCTAACCTCACTTTCTGATGAAATGTCAAATCCTTCATATGCATCTATGGCTTCATTTAAATAACTTCTACGAGTTTTAGGATTAACACCATCAGGAATGTTATAGAAGCGTTTAAATAACCTTCTACCTTCGGCTCTTATTTGATTATCATTCATTTTAGCTGTTCCGTTTTTGTTCATTTATGTAAGAATAAAAAATTAAAAAATAAATAAAAATAAAGTTTATTTTTTTAAAGTCCAGGGCTAAAGTCCATAAAATGAATTAAGAACACATAAATTTTTATCATCTGCGACGTGACGAATACATTTTAATTTACTCAAGAATGCGTACCCTGATACATTAAATCTAATTCCTGTCTTATTTAATTTCACAACTTTGAAAAGGAATGTATGAATAGCTATAAAATGATGAGATGATGTTTTATGGGTTGCTTCCATTTTTTCTGAAATAAATGAATAAATATAATGTTTATAAGTTTTCATATCTTTTTATTCTTAATAACGAATGGTATAGACCTTTCAACTTCGTCTTCCTTCGGTGCTGTTCTTTCATATGAAACATTATTAGTATCTTCAATAATGAAACCACAATCGCATAAAAATTTTATATGTACCAATTGTTTCTTTTGATATTTTATCTAACAAATCAAAAACTTTATCAACACCTGTACATTTATTTAAATAATAATTTGTGTAAATATATGGTCTTCTTTCTTAATCGTATTTGTTGCATATGTTACATTTTTCACTGCTTTTTTGAATTTTTCAGAATCAAGAGGAGGTGAAAGTAATATACATGGATAATCTCCATCGTCAATAAATTGTAACTTATGTTTATGAATAAATTTTGTGCCTTCTTCTGAAAGTGTTTCATCTATTTCACCATCTAATAAATTTTTAGTAGATTCCAAAAAGTAATTTTTATATCTTTCTTCATGAGATTTTTGAACTTCTGATTCTGAAGCTGGGATATTCATTAAACCCTCTACTTCATTCTCATTATATTTTTCAACTTCTCTTAATTCCTTAATTTTTTCATCTATTTCATCTCTTATTTTTTCCAGTCTTTCAATTTCATCATATTCATCATCTTTAATCCGTTCTTCATAATATTCAGGGAAAACATCAGGTTCTTTAGGTTTTTCTTCTTCAGATGTGGGATATAAGAAATTTATAACATCATCTTTATTCATTTTTCCATCATAATCTAAATCATTTAATAACTCCGCGAATTTTTGACAATTTCTTAAATAATATTTATTAACTTCATAACCCGCCTCCTCTAATATATCCTTTATTTCCTCGTTTGTGAATCCCAATTTTTTAACGTCGTTAGTCTTGACACTCATTTTCATACGAATTAAAAAAATAAATTATTCAAAAAATGTAAGACATGAATTTTTAATATTGGTTTCATACAAAATAAAAATAAATTATTCATAAATGTAAGACATGAATTTTTAAAGTTTATTTTTCATTCATGAATGATAATTATATCTAATTTCTTTTACTCTCTCGTATATACTAGATTTAAAGAATTCAGAACTTTTACCATAATCTCCTAAATGTTTTCTAATCCCTAACGTGTGCCAGTTATTATATGAAACTGTATAAACTTTATCTTTATCTTTGCATCTTTCATCACTTCCAATATATTTATATCTCAGTTTTGATTTTGCATTTTCATAATCATTAACGTTTAATAATTCACAATCTTCCTTTTTAAATAAATGTTTAAGATATTCAGGATTTAATACTCTACGTTTATATGCTCCTAACTTAGTTCTAAAGGTTTTTCTACAAAATTTAGGAATTCCATCCTCTTTAATGTCATCAATGATTTCCATTTCATTATTTTCAATTTCTTCTTCTCGTTTATGAGGTCTTTGATTATGACTCCATTGATTCCATGAAATTAAATATTCTTTATCATTATATTTATACCTCATTAGCTTATTTTGGCTTTCATATTCATTTAATAATTCACAATCTTCATTTTTAAATTGAAGTTTAACCCATTCAGGATTTAAACAATGTTTAATTAATCGCGGAATATCTGACATCATCTATATATATATAGCTTCTTTTATAAAAGATAAAAAAATAAATTATTTATAAATTAATGTTAATTTTTTAATGATTTATAAATAAATATATTTTAATGCATCGTCTATATATAGATGTAACAAAAAAAGTCACACAACCCGCACTCATCTACTACTGCAGTTAAATTTGAATCAATTAATATTCTAAATTCGTGTAATAGGCAAAATCGCAACCGAATTTTAAAATCTCGATCGCAAAGAAAAATTTCGATTTTTTATAAAATCGCGAACTTCTGAAAAATTGCGAACAGAAAAAAATCGCGATTGTTTTTGAAATCGCGTTTTATTAGAAGTACGCGATTTTATAAAAAATCGAAATTAGATTAAAATATAGCGTCTAAAACCAAATTGCGAACAAGTTATGTATTGATTAAGAAAAATATATTTAAGATGAAGAATTGCTTGCTATGATGTACTGATTCATGATCAGTACATCATAGCAAGCAATTCTTTACATGAAGTTCGAAAACTTGGGTGCAATCAGATCTGATTGCACCCAAGTTTTCGAACTTTGTATAGGGAATTAAAGGGTGAGAGATATATAGTCTATCTATATATCTCTCACCCTTTAATTCCACCTCTGTAAGCGATAAAATTTTATCAAATATTTTATACTACGAGAAATTATGGCTTTGTTTCATAGACGTATTGAATTTACCGATTGTGTTAAAATGAGATCGCTTAATCTTTAAATTTATTAAGTTAATCAAATTTTTGATTAAACGCAACGATGTTTTGTGAAATCAAAACGATAAATATTCAATGCAAACGCACCTGAGCTATGTTCCTTTATTGCAGCCATTAAACATTTGTCTGGCTCACAATTTGAGAGCACTTCACCTAAATAATGCTATAATGAAAATTGAATTAATAAAAATCGTTTCTTCAAATAAACTTCACAAATATATTATCATTATGTGAATTTTTACTTATAAAATTAAATACATATTTAGTTTCTAGTATTTTTTTTTCTATTGTCATTCAAAATATAGCTACAAAACGAAGAACCATAATTTTGATAAACACTAAATGATAATATGATTTATAATATAAATAAAATATTTTCAAGTCCAATAAATCAAAATTGATATTTTAAAAAAAACTAATTAAGAATTCAGTGATAATTTTATCAAATATTACAAGACAATATGATTTATAAGCAGAATAAAATATTTATTATTAAATTTGAAAAAACACTTTTTTTATAAAAAAAAATTCGGGCTATTTATCTTATATATATATTATACAATGATTTGACATATATAGTATAATAGAAATATCATAAAAACTAACATCCATTCGAATAAAATATATTTTGTCCATTTACGAGTCATCAGCAATATAAGTTATACTATAATTTTCCACTTTACATCCAGAACTAGTGCATATCGATGGCTTCGATGGCGTTTTATCGATTTATCACAGGCGAAATCATTATCAAGAAGTCATCGGCAGCCATTTCATTCTAGAATATCGAACTATTTGCTTACAATTTAATTTAAAATCATCTGATAATTTTATATTTTATAGGTGTTATATTCACAATGATATATATTTTATAATATTGAACATGAGTTGAACAAATCTCCACCTTACTGAAATAATATATG